CACCGGAAAAGATGAAGATGAAACCATTGAAGTAGATGAAACCATTGAGCCTTCTTCTAGATTGATGCGTGTCCAGGTCTAGTCCAATTAAGCTAGTGAATATTTCAAAGTCAGAACAGTCCAAGCTTCGTTGATGTTTTGGGAGAAGATCGACGCCGTGTTCCAGATGCATCAACGTCGCGGCAGACTTTGTTAGTAATATACGGTACGCGAATGATACAATGATACGTACGTTCGCGTATAATACGGTGTACTTTTATAAAATACGGCTAAATATATGTTTTATACGTTCGCAACAAGAATACGGATACGTACGCGTTTTATACGTTTAATAATTTAAAAATATGGCATATAATACATGTCTATATTTACGCTAGTTTCACTAAATTATTGATAGACCAAAAGACATTGTTTTGGATTAATCCTGTCACAACTATAGCTTCTCGTGACTTGCTATAGGGAAAATCTCGCCATTCAGAAGAGGCCACAAGAAATCTCAATTCATTCTCAAGTGTGACTACAGATTGCACAACAAGAAAATTGGAAGCAAACCTTGTAGCACAAGGCCTTTTCAATTCCCTCCCTTTTGTAGCTTTTCTCATCAAAGCAGTGACAATAGTGTGTCGATACATGTATGCTTGAATGGATTTTGCATCATCAACGACACTTTTCATCCAAGGGATTTGTTCATAGAAGTCTTTCAGAAGCAATTGGATACCATGTGCAGCACACCTAGTGTTATACATGGTGGTGTATTTTTGTATAAGCATGTTTCCAGCAGATACGAAATTTGAACCATTATCACTGATGAACTGTACTACATATTGAGGCCCAACCATATCAATAACCTTAGAAGTTAAATGACTCAGAAAAAGACCTGATTTCTTATCTTCTGAAATTTCAACAGATTGTAGAAACACTGAACCTCTAGGACAATATGCAATAAAGTTAATGAAGCATCGTCCTTTCATATCACTCCAAGTATCAGAAATGATGGAACAACCAGTGTCTTCCCAAGACTTCTTAACAATTTCAACATACTCATCAGCACGCTTTTTTGCTCTTGGAATAAGTTTAGTCCTTAAAGTTGAGTAGCTGGGCAATTTATATGCAGGGCCATACTCGCCAATTCCTTTTACAAGATTGATGAATGACTTTTGTTGCACCACATTAAAAGAAATATTATTTTGAATGAAAAATGTAGCAAGCAAGTCATCTAACTCAGTCTTGTCAAGTTTTTTTTACCATTTCAGGCATAGTACTTTGATACAATGAGGGCTGAGAAGACATACCTCCCCTAGTATTTAAGGAGGGAGAAGAAACTAACCCCACAAGTACCATCACTTTTTATGCGTGTATCACTTGAATCGACTCTCATCCTTTTGGAAGGGTTTTGGCTAATGGTTTGACACACTTGAGATTGTATCTCTGAAGAAACTTGTGTGCAAATCTCAATGTCATTGCCTTTTAATCCAGACAAATGAAACTTGAGTCTAGTTAGACCACCATAAAAAACTCGCTGACAATGCCTGCATTCGAACTTTCCATTCATATCGTCAGCATGTATCCAGAGCGGATCCTTCTTTCTAACCATGGTTCTATAAAAAAACATAAGACAATAACATAATTACATATATGATAAATGTAGGATGGAAAAGTTTAAATTCTCAAATACTGAATTCTAAAAAATGTAATACTCCGTAATATTTATAAAAATATTAACAAACCCACTTTTAGATAAAATAAAATAATCATAATAAAATTTAAAACACAACACTCTAATTGGTTTATAGTTGTGTAAGAAGATTATAAAATGTTTATACTGATTTAGTAAAACATGTTAAAAATTAATAAAAAACTAAAACAAACTCAGGTTGACAAAGTAAATGTATGATGATAAAGTTATTTGCTCCTAATGTATGTTCTATAACTTGCTAGACGCTAGTCTTGCGGTTGAGGGACGCCTAGCTCCTGTGCACTGACTAGGCGCCGAGTCACCTACTAGCCCGATTTTTAGCCAACTAGGTCAATTAGTCCTCCACAATTAGTTCCAAGTAATCAGACTGATTAGGCCGAATTTTAGAATAATGCTCATAATGTTTAAATTATTATAACCGTTTGAAATTAGATATTTCGAAACTAGAAAAAAGGTTCTATTCATTATTGAATCACATAACTGAAGATTAATTGAATAAATAAAATTGACATCAAACATCAAACATGAAAAAGTAGATTCGTTGATGAGATTAATGAGATAAAAAGTTTAAAAAAAAATAGAGCAATCATGTGGAAATTTAAGCACTATGGAGTTTTTAAAAAACAATACTGAAAGTTAAAAGTTCATACTCGTATTTAAAAATTTAAATATCTAATACATGGAGATGAGTGAATTGAAAAATAATACATCAATCATGTGGCAGTTTAAGCAGGAGATTTAGAGCCCGTTTGGTAGCACGAAAATCGGCTGTTTTGGCTGTTTCTGCTGAAATTTATGAAGTTCTGGCTGAAGTGGCTGTTTTGGCTGATTCTGCTGATTCTAGAAAAAAATATTTTAAAAATATATTTTATTAATAAAATAAAGAAAAAATTACATGTAAAAATAGCTAAAATGGTCATCTACAGTAACTTCAGCCAATACAGCCAGAAAAGTAACTCCAACCTTACTTTTTCGGCTTATTACACAATTTAGCGCGCGAAAGTAAAAGTTACGTGTTTGGTGAAAAAGCTGGCTAATAAGCCTGATAAGCCGAAAACAGAGTTCTCCAAACGGGCTCTATAACTACGCTCAAAGTAGGGCATGTGAGTCATTTGGTAATGATAATCATGTCCATCGAATTCTCTGGTATCATTAAAGTTTTCAACCTTACTTTTTCTGCTTATTACACAATTCAGCACGCGAAAGTAAAAATTACGTGTTTGGTGAAAAAGCTGGCTGATAAGTCTGATAAGCCGAAAAAAGGGTCTCCAAACGGGCTCTTAAAATTGCAATACGGAGTACGTAATACCTTGGAGCTTGCCGCCGCCTCTACTGTGCTAGTCTGGTAGTGCTTTGGTCACCGTGCAAAGTGAATAGTTAAAACCTTAGGCTTTATTGGACAGCTGTACCACACTCGCATACCAATAGTCCAATACTCCGTATTAGATTACTAGCCGGGGCCTTACCGCAGGGGCCGGGATTGTGGGCAGTAGTGGGAAAGGTATACACGAATAACACGATTTCAGCTATTTTCTTATTAAAATACGTATAAATACAATTAGTACGTGTATAATACGTTCAATCAGTAAAATACGCGAATTTTAACGTATTTTTGGAAAAAATACGTAAACAGGTAATTTATACGTGTATTATACGTTTAGGCGTATTATACGTGTATTATACGCGAATTAACTAACAAAGGCGGCAGAGACAGAGACGAATTGAAGATTGAAGATTCCATATGATTTCGTGCGATTGAGGTATCAAGTACTGTGAGCAATTGCAAATTGAAATAAGGGTTTCTGCCCTTTCTGGCTTCGTGCGAGCATATGGCAATCTATTGTCTCGGTCAGGACTACTGGATTTGGGCACTTTGCAGGACTTCTAGTTTGGGCTGAACATTGGATTGGGCTTTAAGTATTGGCCCAGATTTATAAATTTATTGGGTTGGGAAAAATATATAATTTTAAATATATTAATTATGAACGGTCTGGTCCGGTATAAGCCGGTTCTCAAAATCCAGAACCGTTCACGTACCCGCTTCAAACGGTACGGTTTCGGTTCGGTCCAAAAAATTATAAAACCGTTTAAGTACCCGTCAATCGGTTCGGTACCATTACGGGCCGGTTCGGTACCGGTTCGGCCCGATTTTTATGCCCACCCCTAGATTAAAGGTTTAGATTATTTTGAAATAAAAAAATCTAAAAGTGAAAAGGGGAAAAGTTAGAGATGAAAGAAAAAAAATCGGAGGTCATAACTCATAAGTGAAATAGAAAGAGTAAAAGTGGTTCATACGGGTAATTTCCACTTTATAATTAGTACTAGCGATTACTCGCGCAAGGCGTGAGAGTGGTTGCCCAATATTAAAATCATATTATTTTTTTTTGTAAAAAAGTGTTATATGCGAAATTGTTGTGAGAGTTTTGAAAATAATTAATGAAATTTTACATATCGTATACTACGTATATTTTAAAAATTGTCGGAATAATTATATTCCATGTCACTCAATTATTGTATGGAAAATATGTGATTATGTGGTTCATCCTTAATCAATATTCTAGAAATACATTAAGAATGTTGATGTAAATATCATCTAAATGCATATAGTTTTGAACAAACCAGTTTTATGAGCAATAAATATTTCGCATTCTTGACTAGGTTGTAATCATATGTGTTTCAAGTAAAAAAAAGATTACATTTAAGTCGCATATTTAGCTATGTAGTATCGACCTTTGATGGAAAATTTGTGTATGTTAGTTCACATGTGAAACATTTCTTTTTTTTTACATATAATCCGTAATTGTAACAATATATTTTTTCCAAAAAATAAAACTTATAAAGTTTACTATAAACTATAAAGTAAATGAGAAGTATATCATTACTTATACTCCATATTATACAATAACAAGTCAAAGGAGCTAAGTTGAGTTAACAGAAAAGAATATTAGAAGAAATCAAATAAAATAAAGATGGTGGAATGACAAGAGGCACATGGGGTTGGCCGTTGAATTGGGAGCTAATTATAGCTTGGCTATCGATCAGCTTTCTACTTGATGAAGCAGATGTGCGGGCTGAAGTTTGGTTAACGTGAGTTAAAAACTTACGGCCGTAAGGGTAAAGCAGTCAAAGGAAAAAATAGAGTTCCACCTCCTAATAACAATGTACAATATCTTATGCACTAAGTGTGTTGACATAATTCAGGGTATCAACCCCCGTTCATAATTATATTGTTGTTAGATGTTAGATATGTATAAGTTTTGTTTTGTTTTCAGCCCACTCCAAATTTATTCCAGCCCAGCCCAAAATTAATTCCCTGCTCCAGCTTGCAGCCCAGCGTCTGCGCCCAGCGAGGAAACAAAATCGAAGAACGAAAACTGAGGCAGAGTTGCGACGAAGAAGGCGAGAATCTGTGAGCTGCGACCCTGCGACAAAGAGAACACCGAGCCCACCACCCGCGCCTTGTTCCGCCTTCCACTTCGCGCGTCCAGGGCATTCTTCGTCAGCCGTCCAGCATCCTTTCTCTGGGCTCTGCCTCCAGTTCTGGCGCAGCTGCGCAGGTAAGTTTTTTTAGACTTTCTCTTTTTTATTTTGTGAATTAGAAAGCAGTAAATGTTACATTGCATTTTACAGTGTTAGGGTTAGTCCGTTTGTGTTAACTTGTACGTAGTACTACGTATTATTATTAGTTGAGTTTTTCATTGCATAATTAAATTGGGCTAAAATTCATTGTAAATTTATAATGATTAAAGATAGAATTAAATCTTAGACAATGATTTATCGATTATACAATTGAAGATTACAGAATGGTTTATGTATTTGTGTGGACACAAGAAAAAATTGAAAATTTCAATTGAAATTTGAAATTGGGAATGCTTACTAGTTTTATGTACAACATTTTTTTTTTCTTATTAGTTTTATAATTTTATATTTTTATAGAAGTATTTTAATTCTTACCAATATTGAAAATGTTTTTGGGAAAATGGAAACTAATAATCCAACCTTTTAGCGGTCTTCTTACAATAGTCCCACCTTTTCGTTATTCATGAATAATCCAACCTTTCACATCATCTTCATTCATTGGTCCCTGACCGGTTGATGACATGCTATTCCAAGTTATTTTCTTATCTTTGCAAATCATTATACCATAAATATCACCTTTCACAAAGATAATATTTTGCAACGATAAGAAAATAACTTGAAATAGCAGGTCATCAACCGGTTAGGGACCAGCGAATGAAGATGGGGTGCAAAGGTTGGATTATTCTTGAATAACGAAAAGGTGGGACTATTGTAAGAAGACTGCTAAAAGGTTGGATTATTAGTTTCCATTTTCCCAATGTTTTTTTAGAATGGATAATGAACATATTGCCAAGAAAGAAAAGAAGTTCATTTCGTCATTCTTTCCAAATGGAGAGTTTGATAGACATGTATGTTGCAACTTGCAAAGTGTTTAATCATTTGGTTGAGAACTCTCCAAGTGAAAGATCTCAAACGGAAGTTCTCGGGACCTATAAAAAATGACAAGATTTGAAATCGTATTTTTCTTACACTTGATGCATAAGCTTCTGAAAATAACTGATGCTCTTTGCCGGGTTTCTAAACAAAAACTATTCATATTTTCAGTGCTATTACATTTGTTAGGATTACTAAAATTATCTTTTCGGAGTTAAGGGCATCTGGTTGGGAGGAATTTCTTAAAGAAATCAAGAGTTGTTGCTATTCAAATGATATTGATGTTCCAAATTTGGGTGATCCAAATAAGATTGGGCGTTCTCGTTTCCATCCTACGGTAATTGTAAAAACATTGTATAATATATATGTAGATTCTATTATTGATGAATTTATACTTTGAAGAGTTACGACTTGACGTATTAATATGTATGTGTCTTTCAAATTTCTTTCCTCAGCCCACCCCATTGTCACTGATCTGCCCCTCAGACGTACTTTCTAGATCCGCCCCTCCGACGTACTTTCTACAAAATGGGCATTTCATTTATTTAAAATTTTATAAAGATAAAAGAAGTAAAATTCATTACCAAATCTCAAAGTGGGCAAAAGAGAGACAAGCGACAGAGGGTTTGATTAGTGAAGGTCTTGGGTTTCTGGTGTTCTAGATTTCTTGACTTCTCGTGCATTTCTCACAGAATAACTGCACCTTGCAGCCTCCCAGGGTGGCTGGACAGACTTTGGATCTCAAATACACCGAGAAGGGAAAAAAGCGATTCTTGTGAGTTGAAACGCTCCGGCCTCCAGACCACCAGCTAATTCAACAGGTAAGAATTCTTGAATTAATTATTTAATTAATTTATTTGGCTAATTTACAAATTGGTTTATGTATGATAAATTAGTAATTGTTTCTCTGAATATAGTTTAGGATGTTTTTACTTGGACTCTAATTTGCTGATCTGGTCTGAACTGGTCTGGTAATGTCTGGTCTCTTTGTATTTTTATAACTATCTAAGTCTGGTCTGGTTTGGTCTGGGACGGATTACACTCCAAGTAAAAACATCCTTAATTACCTTCCTCATGTACACAATTGATATTTGTTCTAAGCTAGGGTTATAAGCAACCAAATTTCATGACAAGTAAACATAAAGGAGGAATGTGTGTTCTTATTATAGCAGCAATAATAATTGTGCTATGCTCATCTCTGCATTCGCTTTTTCTCTGGGAATGTATTGACAATTGTGTGCCGAAACCTTTCCTTTTGCATTTCTCTTCTTCAATTCAATGAAAATTTATGAACTTTGTTCATCTTGTAGTCCTATTTAGTAAATTTTGTCTTAAATGTATACATGTGAGAGTATCCGACGGATCCGAATCCAAAACTGACCCTTGCCTACTCTCACCCGCGGCATTACTGCCATCCACCACCATCTTTATCTTTCTGCTATGCATCTGACCCGCCAAATCTCATTGATCAACGTCTTGGTGTTGCCGGCAGAAAAGAAATTCCACACTTTCATCTTCTTCTAACAATTCCGAAGCCTCTGCGATTCCCGGCCGTAGGCGAGGCTTTGACATGTTTAGCATTCATCCGTACGCCGCGTGAAGTTTACTAGGTGTGTCCGACTCGTGATTGCTCCAGTGGTTTTGCCCACCCGTCCTTCATAGACCTAAGTTTTATGCAGATTCCATATATTGTTGATTTAATTGGGTTTTTTTTGTGCCTTTTTGATTTTATTGACTTCATGATCACCAATTAATGTTTAGCCCTTTTGATTAGCATGAAAATGCTGGAAATGATTTATTTGTCTGTAATGACTTATAAAAAGCACATGTTGTTATAAATACTTTACTAAGAAGCATCAATTTGAATATTTGATGCTCTTGGACTGAGAAAGTGTTTTTAACCTTGTATAACTATAACATTAATGATTTTCAACTTAATAAAGTTATTTTCATTTCATTAATAGTATCAGTAAAGTGCTTCAGATATTCGGAAAATTTGCTTTTGTCCATCCATTGGCTACAAAGTTTGAAACTTAATTCATTTTAGCCTTTAGAGAATGATTACTGGAAAGAAAACAGTTCACAATTTTTATTCATGTGTTTCCTTTCTTTATTTTATTTGATATCGCGATGATGGGTTTAGCATCAATTTGATCAACATTGATGGCCTGTTGGTAACACTAAATTTGGGTGAATATGCTGAATTTGTTGGAGTGGCTTAATTTGCTGAACTATAAAATAATTGTATATAAAATATACAACGCATTTTATTAATAAAACAAAGAATAAAGTAATTGAAAACCCCCAAAATTGTCCTATTGTGCTTATAGTCAGAGAAGTACTTATAGTCTTACTGATTTTGATTATTACATAATTCAAGTGATTGATATTGTGGTGTATGAGTTCTTTCAGTTGTATATAAACAGTTTTTGACAGATTGTTTTCATCTCATTGGTACTGTTATCTAGAGAAGCAGTGTTGAAAGAAATGGCAATGAGTTATATCAGATCCTTGAAAAGTGTGACCTTCCCCACGGAGATGGCTAGAGTGGTTGCCTGCAGAACATTTGCTGTGGGAGGTAAAGCGAAGAAGGGATCGAAAGGGGGTGGGGCTGCTGATGGTCCCAAGGTGTCTTCCCTGAGCAAAGAAGTCAAAGCAAGTACAGTTGTTGGTGCTAATATACTCAAGGACGGAACAGACCCCAAAGTGTTGCCTGATGCCGAGTACCCTGAATGGCTGTGGCACTTGCTAGATAAAAAACCAGCACTTAGTGAGCTAAGAAGGAGAGACTTGGAAACTCTTCCCTATGACGAACTCAAACGCTTTGTGAAGCTGGATAACCGAGCAAGAATCAAGGAAAACAATTCTCTTAAGGCAAAGAACTGAGTTTTGTCCAAACCAGTCCTTCCTATGTTTCTAATTTTGAACTTATGTATCCTGAAGAATGAGGATGGAATATTTTGACAAATAAAGTTTGTTGCGACACATTGCAAGCATTTGTTTCACCTCGCATAATTGAATCGGAAATGTGGTTAGGTTCATTCATTACATGTGCGCAGTGGATCCATTTGGTAAAGTGAGTGCCAAATTATTGCTCTGAGTTTTGGAAAACCATACTTTGGAATTAGAGCTTCTAATGAACTGAGTTGAATCCTAACATCGAAGATCGACAAGCTTTACACATGAGGCTGGGTACAAGTGTACAACTTGATCGATGTTCTTTGATTGGAGAACTCGATAAGTATGTTCGAATGTAGAAATCAGTGTATGCTATTTAATAGGTTTCATTTAGTCATGGACCCGGTCCGACCCGGCTTGAATCCAGCCCTAGCTGGGATGGGTAATTCCGGGGGGTTTGGGGGATGGGGGGGGGGGGGGGCAGGGGTTGAAATAAATAAGAAAAAAAACGGAACCAACCTGGCCCCGAACCGGTAGCCTCCCGGGCCGGTCCCGGGCCTTACCCAATACCTTCCAGGCTCGAACCAGAACTGGACCAGGCCCGTTCCACCACTAGTTTCATTTGTAAATAAGAATGTTTAAATTTATAAAAGCACACTAAAAGTTTTTAAATTCCAACATACATTGAATTTTTCTTTATAATTTATAGGTGTTTAATAGGTTCTGCTCAAGATGGACCAAACATTACTATGCTCAAGCTCGTCTTGAATAAGTATTCAAACTTGAAACCCAGATTTCAATTCAAAGCTCTACATGTTACGGAGTATTATTGTAGAAAGACAAGTCCGAATAGTTCGAAAAAACTAGGTCGGTTGGGATCCCTACGTGGAACCGATTAAAGGTGGTATGAGTCTAATTTCGTGTTAACCTTTATTGCTTATAGTGCTTGACTTGATTCAGAGAATGAATTTTCAATAGTTAAATAAATTAACTCTCAAGTAAATCCTACGGAGTAAAAAGGGAAGGAAAATGAAGTGATATTCTAGCTCTATGTATAGGTCGAAAGTGGCCTTGAAATATGGTTGGACAATTAATAATACGAAATGAAATTGGACCTATAAGTGTAGCTCTCTGTCGATTCCGGAACCGATCGATTCTGGTTTCGGTCTAATCCTGAGTTTTAGTTCTTCTAACCCTCCACTCACCCCCCACCACACCCTTCCCTTCCAACAATTAAAAGAGCTGTTGGAGAAGGACCCTTCCCCTCCCATAGTTCAGGTTCTGATCCAAAACCGCCGGACCGACTTTGTTTATATAGTTTAAAAACTGTCCCATTCCGGTTTGGATCGATTATAGGTCTGAACCGTGTCTATCTCTAATTTGAAAAGGTCCGGCGTAAAGCAACTGTTTCATTTAGACTCTGTTTGCGATCACTTATTTTACTAAACACTATCAATTTTTACTTTCTCGATTTTCGTGTAGAATCTACTTATTACTTTTTTATTACACAAAAAATACTTATTTTACCAAACATTGCCAACTTTTACTACTAATCATTTTTTCCCAAAAATTGTTTTTATTTAAATACAAGTGATTGCAAACAAAGCCTAAGTTATGTGCCAAATTGTTGACTTTTCCAAAGTAGCACTTCAATTCAATACTTCTTTAAATGCTTCCACTTGAAGTGAAATTTCCTAGTTTGATCCAGTCGGAATTTATCTATTTTGATAGATGTATGGTTTATAACTTTATATGTACTTTACAACCGTAAAAATAAAGTTTGGTCCGAGACTGAAAATAGTCCAATTAGAAACATAACATTTCCACAACTCCATCTATAACATTTAGTTTTGGAACAACAAAATTTGTCGAATTTGCTGAATCTATTGAAATTGATGAAATTCTAGTTAAAGTGAGTGATTGGCTAAAAATGTTTAATCGGGTTAAATATATTTTGTTAATATGTTAAAAAATACTCTCTCCGTTACCCTAATATTGGGACGGAAGAGAGTGGTGTAGTTTTTAAGATAAATAGAATTATTTGGTTGATAATGAGTTGATAAAGTGAGAATAAAGTAAGAATGAATTAGAACAATGCAAATGTTACCAAATATGGTATGAGACAATAATAGGGGGACATCAAAGAATGAAAAAATGGTACAAATATGAGGGGACAGAGGGAGTGCATCTGGAAAAAAAGCTAAAATAGTTCTTAAGAAAATTTCAACCAGAAAAGGATAAACTAGTTTTGATTATTATAATTCAGCATGAGAAATCAAAATTTACACATTTCAATTTTATTAGAAACCATAATTCCTGCATGAGTGTTTCATTATGTATGTATGATAGTGAAAACACAAAAATATTTTTGTCCCGTGAATCACAGAGTACTACTTATAATTCAACTTACTAAATTAACAGTAACATTATAAATCCATCTTTCTCAGCGTATATTCAATAATGTAGCTAGAAAAAAATTGAGAGTAGACCGATACAACAAACAAATTGATGAAAATTTTTACATAATGTTTTGAATATAGACCAATGCATGTATACTCACTTCTTTTTACTAAAATTTTAATTATAATTCGATTTAATCAATCCAACTAGGGGTGAGCATTTCAGTTTTTGATTCGGTTTTTATTGGTTCTGGTTCGGTTTGAAACGAGTTGGGAGAATTAGTATCGAATAAAAACCATACTTATTTTCAATTTGGTTCGGTTCAATTTAGTTCGGTTTGAATTTGTTATTTTTTTAATAATATATGAAAGTTTATTCAATTTCTTTAATTCGGTTCAATTTTGTTCGATTTTTATCGATTTGATTCGGTTCGATTTAATATAGTTTCGAAGAAATACTATAAAAATCAAACCAAATTGTATATGGTTCAATTTCAATTTCAATTCGATTTAATTTGATTTGATATGATTGATTTCGTTCGATTTGATACGATTCTATTCGATTAAATCAGACCAATATATCACCTCCTACGTTGAGACCGCGTTTAGAAATGATTTGATGTCCTGTCATTTACGTGTGCCAAAATGCGGGCGGACAGCGTCAATCTCAACGGTTACAAAAACCGTCCGTAATGCATAACCGAGTCCTTGCCTAACCTATCGTCGCAATGTTACTGGCAAAGCCCCCGTCATTATCGCAATTCTCAACTCCCGTCCCCACATTTTCCCTTTTTCCGGCACAGCCCCCACACGTTTTCTTCCCTACCCTAAAAGGGCCTCCCTTCACCACCACCACCGCTTCTGCCGCAAACCGCTGCCCACTCCGTCGCGAAAATGAAGCATAAACGTCACATCCAACACTCGTGCCCTAACACATTCCACTATCACCGGACCAGCAATTCCCTGTAACTTCAAGTTGCTTCAATAAACAAATGTGGAGGACCTCGTTTAATTTGCTCAGGCACAGCGCCACGGCCGCCGCTCGATGCGGGGCGGCTGCTCCGAGGAAGAGCAAGTGGCTGAGCCTGCATTTGGATGGGAAGATCAGTAACAGTGGCCATGGCTGCTTTTTTGGGAGAAATTTGGGCGGGGCGCAGTATTGCAGTGGCTCCACCGTAGTCGGCGGAAGAGATGATGGTAAAGGGGAAGGGAATGAGCAGATAATTTCGGTAGCGGAGGCGAAAAAGCTGATGAGATTGGTGAGTGTGGAGGCGCTGAAGGGTAATCTAGGTTTGGAACAAAAGGAGGTGATTGCCTATTCCCAGCTACTGGATGCTTGTCAAATCGTAGGTGTAGCTAAGTCCCGAGAAGAGGCGGAGGCGTTTTCTCGTGTCCTGGATGAAGCCGGCGTGATCTTACTCTTCCGTGATAAAGTTTATCTTCATCCCGATAAGGTATTATTCTTTTCCCCCATTTCTCTTCTTTCTTCTTTACAGTCAAATCGTGTTGGCTATGATTTACTGCTCATAATGTATGAAATTTCAATTTGAGAAAGCAACAAGGGGATTAGGAATGTCTGTATCAACAAATTGACTGTTGTAGTACAAAGTGGGCCTTGCAATGTTTTGTGGCAGTGGGATCTTGTGTCTCATTGTTTTGTGTATTGCTGATTATGTGCAAGTCATTTGGTAGGAAAGGAACATTGGGTATTCACAATTTGCATATACTTGGCACAACCATTAAAAAAATTAAAGCTTTTTTTGGTTTTAGATGAAAAGATTGTATTTGTTGGGGTAAAATAAGATAACAGTTGAACGTTTGATAAAGTTTTTTTTATAATATGTTGTGCGTTAAAAGCAATGGTCATTCTTTCTTTCTGAATTCTGATGTTACTCAAAATTACTTTAAAAAGACCTTGATTTTTTTAAAAATATCATCTAATTGGTGCTGTGGCAAACATACAACCTAAGAAGTTTTTAAAAACTTTTTAAATTGTACAAACGCTAGAATGAAGTGCATTGGCCTAACATGGACTTTGTAAACGCACATAACTGAGGTTAATAGAAAGGCAGAGAGGGAAGTCAACCCCTGCCAACTTTCAACTATCTGGCTTTCTTGTTATTTATGTTCTTTATCCTCTGCAGTCTCTACAATTCTTGTTTGTGTTCTGCTGACATATTTTTGCGCAAGACAATATTACTCCCTCCGTCCCAAAATTATCTTCATTGTTACTATTCACATGGTCAATTCAAATTACTCTTAATCTTTTACTTTATATATCAAATTTTTATCTAATTTAAATTTTCTTGATCAGGCTTTGTAGCGGTTTTAATGTAGTTTCTGAATATGTAAATTTTATTTTCTAAAAATAATCCGAGTGTGAACAGGGATCGAGTTGCTTTATCGTCAGTCAAACATCGTAAACCGAACTATGAAGATATATATGGGACGGAGGTAGTACTTGTTAAGGATGTTTACCATTTTGTAAAACATCATTCCCAATGTTGCAGAAATGGGTGTCAAGTGCCCAGCCTCTGTACTTTTAAAAAAGAAGTACGAGGTGAGCTGAAAATGACTAGACCATGTCTTCTCAAATGCCTAACTCGGTTCACTGTGTAATCATTGGCTCTGTAAAAAAAGAATAAATTATTTTCATTTGTCTTGTGACTATAATGTTTTCGAAAAGGGTGCAGTGTCCTTAACTAAAAATGGTCGGGCACCAAGGGGAGGGAGGCAGCCATCTTGTCTGAGTTGTACTGCACTGCTTGTTCAGTTTTACAAAGGAAACATAACCATTTCCTTCATTAGCTTTTCCCAGTTTTAATGTTCTCATTATTGAATAAAAATAGTACACTTTTGGTTTTTTTACTATCATACTCCGTACCATTTTGGATTTGAGTCCAAAATTTTCACTGTTTTGACCTGTTGCCCGCACTAAGGTCTCTTGATGCTTTCTTGCCACCTACCTTGTGTAAAATCATTACGTAATTTGAAATTACCCAGTCAAATGATCAAAATGACCAATAGTGACAATAAAATGAAAGAAATTAAAAGGACTGGATCAAACTCAGAAATTAAATAAAATTCATGAAATATTTGCTTACATCTTCAGGTTGTTGATCTAGTTAGGAAGGCAATGCCAATTGCACTTTTACCTGAAGGTGATCCATCCACAGATGAGCTTAATAAACTACAGGAAGTTATGGATGGAATTGACAAGCTTGCACATAGACAGGTCCGCTTCATTCTTTGGACAGGTCTCGGGGCAGGTATTCTGTTGGTTGGCCTTTTCTTCCGTCTTACATTCTGGGAATTCTCTTGGGATGTTATGGAGCCAATAGCGTTTTTCACTACTACAACTGGTTTAGTCATAGGCTATGCATACTTCCTGTTCACTTCAAGGGACCCCACTTACCAGGACATGCTGAAGAGGCTCTTCATTTCTAGACGAAGGAAGCTCATCAAGAAGAAGAATTTTGATATACAGAGATTTGTAGAACTCCAGAAGAAATGCAGGTTACCCCAGAATGGAACAAACTCAATGAATCGTAAGTTGGGGGTAGACCTAGAGGAAATGCTACATGGCCATTATTAGAAGGTATAATTTTGCTGTAGGCTGTGTTTGGTGATAAGTGCCTACCAAAACAGTAAAGCTGATTGCTGAAGCTTCTGTTATCTTTATTGACTTGTAGAAAAGATTGGAGAAGATTAATAAGCTTATTACTCTAATCTAATGCTAAATTTCTAATGCCAATTTTTTGAAGTAACGCTGAGGTTATTGGTGTTCCCTCTGAATGGGCTTCTCTTTCGTTCCTTTTGTGAAATAACTCTAAAATGTGCTGGAGTATCCTGCTCTGCCCAACACCATCAATAGCAAATGCATAGTGAAACCCTATTTATATGGCTCTTGCCCACAAGAACAGCAGACAGAAAACATAGCACTGTCACCATATCACCCCAAATCAGCTCCAACCCATGCCAAAGATAATATAGTCGGGTGCAATAGTGAATTGGGGAACCTCTGAGTGGGCGAGAAAAAGACTTGGGCTCCACAATAAAAATTCCAAATTTTTCTTTAAAGTGGTACGGAGTATAATTTTTTATTTGTAGTCCAACTTTTACAAAAATACAGTAACAGTTTTGATTTGATACCAATATTGTATATATAAAGTACAAAAATATAAGTTTCATCTGATGGAATTTCTTAGGCCCAAAAGGCCAAAATTTCTATAAGTAGATTCAAGTGTTAAAATTAAAATCTCATGGCTAAACTATTTTATTACATCTTTTTATTTTAAAATAGGTCTGAAGTAACAAAATATTAAACTCCAAAATTATTATTTCGAAATGTTTGCCTTTTTAAATCACAATTATTTACAAAAAAATGAAAAAAAATTGATGTATAATAGAGTAATAAATGAAAGATTTTAATAAAAAAAATTATTGGTAAATATATTGACGGTGCTGGATTGTAGGAAAAAACTGAATTAACTAAATGGATGATATAAATTGGTGAAAAATTTGATTGGCATACACCCTTACAAGTACACCACCAGGGAAGATATTTATTTTGTTTGAATATTTTCATTTAAATTATTGTTGGGAATATTTGTTTCAAAATCCAATTTAAACAACATTCCCAAACCGCGAAATTATATGGTGGAATCGGTCCACCAAAACAAGTTGTCCCTAAATGTCGTACGAAGTAGTTTTTAGGTTAAAAAGAACTGCATCTTCTTTCTCTTTTTGTCAATCTAGCTAATCGTTTCTTTCATAAATTTGCCCCGGTTTTTATTCTCTATTTTTCTTTCAAAAATGCTAGAGGTACCCCAAATTGAACCCCAATTTGTACCCTCACCCTATTTTTATGGTTCACAAAAGCAACTCATTAAAGTGGAGAAATTCATTTATTGAAGTGGGCTTTTGTGAGCCACACAAATAGGTTGGGGTGCAAAATGGGGTACCTATAGCAAGGTTGTTTTCTTTCAAAAATGCTAGAGGTACCCCAATTTGAACCCCAATTTGTACCCCCACCCTATTTTTGTGGCTCACAAAAGCAACTAATTAAAGTGGAGCAATTCATTTATTGAAGTGGGCTTTTGTGAGCCACACAAATAGGTTGAGGTACAAAATGGGGTACAAAATGGGATACCAAGGTTGTTTTTCTTTTCTTCTACAATTCTCTTCTTCTCCGTCAATCTAAAATCTAATTATCATATTGCTCTACTTCATTTTTAACTTAACTCTTGTCCGAGCTCTATCTTATATTTGTTCAGTCCACGTCATTTATATTTTAATCCTAACAAAGTTATCGTGTTCCATTAATTACATAAAAATATACCACTCACATATTTTTTTAGGTATCATACTTACTGTGTGCGTGCGTGCGTGTGACTCAATGGAGTGAGTTTCAACCCTGATTATTCCTGGCTCCCCTCAGCCGCTCTCCCCCAGGCCCCCTGGAGTAAAAAAAATGTATGTATGTATCTAAAAAAACAAAAAACATTATTTTTTTTGCTGGCGGGTGTCGGATGGGGGGGGGGGGGGGAATGGGCCTCAACTAAGGTCCGCCACTATTAGCCACGGTTATTTTCACAGACCCATTGTTTTGTATATACGAGGGATACTTTTATCTGTCCACATATAATTGATCCCCTTTCTGTCCATATATTGCAAATCACTCCTATTTTTGTTCAAGGAAAATGTGGTATTATTATTTTTATCGTTCTTCTTTTCTTCTTGTATGGCTTAGTATTACCCCCATTCAATTGGAATTTTCCAAATTTGAATTAGGTGAGAAATTAAAAAATTAAAAATTATGTGATTAAGTTTGTGCAGAAGAATTAGAAATGTGCAGATCTGCAAATTAGTTACTCTAACGATCAAAGCTTTTGGAACAATCAAAAAGAGAAAATTGACAAATTTCAATGGAAAGATGTAGTAAAGAGGCAATATAATTTTGAGATATTACTCGAAATAGGACTAAAAAAGTTTCAAAATTCCAAAATAGGACTGCCATGTTTTTATTCCCAAATAGGACTAATTACTATCATGTTTTGGCAGTACCAGACTTCAAACATGTCTGTATTTTCCAAACATGGCAGTAATTACTCCTATTTTGGGAATAAAAAACTTGGCAGTCCTATTTTAGAATTTTCAAACTGTTTTAGTCCTATTTCGGAAACTTTCCCTATAATTTTACATGTTAACTTTGTCTTGATTGAAAATTTTTAACTACTTTAAAATAATCAAAATTCTACCTTACGGTCTTACCATCATTACCATGTAACGGATAAATATTTAGAAATTACTTCAAATAGGACTAAAACTATGGCAAAAACTCAAAATAAGACTTGCTATGTTTTTATTCCAAAATAGGACCATAGTGGTCCTATTGGAAACATACTCATTTCTTCCTTCCATTCTTACCCCTCCTTTAAATATTAGTAAAAAATAGCTAAAAGTCATAATTAAATGTTTAATTCATAATAAATCCGAAAAAATTTCAATAATTCGTAGAAAAATAATAAAAAAATTAATAAAATTTTTATAAAAAAAATAAGATTTGTTTTTTATTTTATTTTTTGAAAATTAATAAAAAATAGTAAAACTCCATAAAAAAATTAAAAAAAATATGGATACCTTTCCCACCGCCTGTACTACCTCCCAGAACCACCACCTCCGATCGGTGTAAAAAATGCCACTTTTTTTTTAAAAAAAAATCCACAAAAATGGCACATTTCTCTATGAGAATGCCAACATTTTCATTCTGCCAACTTGAATCCTTTTGACTTTTGCCAAAAATATGGCATTCATAATTTTTTTTGGCATTTTTTTACCCTGGTGACAGGAGGTGGTGGTACCGCCTCCCTGCACCACCACCTCCGACTGTTAAAAAAATGCCATATTTCCTAAAAACTTCCATTTTTTTCGGAAAATGCCAAAAACATGACATATTTCTCTTTGACAATGCCAACATTTTTTTCTGTCATCTTAAATCATTCTGAATTATGCCAAAAATATGGAATTCATAATAAATTTGGCGTTTTTTCCCCAAATGACTAGAGGTGGTGGTGCTGGGGCGGCAGAGGCGGCGGTGAGAAAAAAATTTGTTTTTTTTAATTTTTTTTTTAAATTTTTATTTTTTTTTAAAAAAAATTTAATTTATTATTATTCAAAATATTTTTATTAATTTTTTGGTATATTTTACGATTTTTTATTATTTTTTATTATTTTATTATGAATTAAAACATTCCAATAGGTATAAGGGTATATTTGTCCAAGACACACATAATTAGTCCTATGGAAACATAGTTTATTTTTTGGTCCTATTTGTGCAAAGTGAATGACTTTTAGTCCTATTTTGATAATTAACTCATAAATATTATCTTTACATATAATAGAAGCTGTTTCTTACAACTTATAAATTTCCTACCTATTTTTATACATTTATTTTTTAGCATATAATATTCAAATATAGAAAAAATGCACAAATATAGGGATAATTATATTTTTTTTTTCTCAAAATAGAACATACTTAATTAGACACGCATATAACTTCCGCAATTACTAATGAATGAGTTCTAACTATTTTAGGAAGAAACCAATCATTTTGTCCATTTTATCTATATTTTAGTCAATTTTCTTTAATATGGAGTAATAATCATCACCACAATAATAAGAATATGTAATAATTGGATAACATTATATTGGACTATTGAAATAGTTGGAATAATCAGATTGAAATAATATAGTTATATGCTAGAGCTACAAACTCCTACAATTATTGCTATACGGTTTTGTTAAAAATTAACAAGAATAGCTTAATCCCTCTAGAGGATTATATATTGCACCAAGAAATATAGTATGGTGTCAGACACATCTTCTTTAATGACAAACATGAAGAGATGGTCGGCTAGAAAAAAAGATGAATTGATGGCTCCAATTGATGCATCTAATCAACACAAATTATAAATAAAAAAAGACATTTCAAAACCAATGAATGAATCAATCCTCATATAATTTGGTGGAAAATAAGGTCCCGAGATTAGAACGTCTCCCTTCACCGGAGACTCCACTGCCACTAGCAGGGGAGTCTGAAGCCTTCATGGTCAACACTCTGGCTTTATTATACCAGTCGCCACCGCATCCATCTCCGGCGGCGGGCGAGACTTTCCCCCACCCCTTACAACCGGCACCCGATTTGGTCCTACAACGATTATGATCCATTGACACCCATAATTCCTCTGTTCCTCCTCCAGATAATGGTGGCCATTCTCTTCTCCCGCCTTCTCAACTTGGCTCTCAAACCTTTCAACCAGCCTCCCATCGTTGCAGAAATCATTGTAAGTAGGACTTGTTATCTAATTTCTATGGAGTATTATTTTTATAAATGGAGTATGAAAATTGCTAGATGACGACTTGCTCTTTATTATTATTAGTATTAGTATTAGTATTTTCTTAAAATCCTGCTTTAAATAAATACTATTTCATCTTTTTCGGTTTTACTTTCTTTGTTTGGACGTCTCATATAAATTTTATTGGTGGCGGCGGTGTATGGTACAAGCAAAAGCCTAATTCCTCGTCTGATTCATCGGTAACACTCACCACTTTTGTACCTGTCTCATTGCATTCCATTCGGCTATGCTGTGTGATTCTTGAGACAAACAGTGACATTCCCTCCACCATACCCATAAGGTTATCTTCAGAATCCATGAAAGATGTTAGCCCCAACTCTTTCATTATCTTCATTGGTTGAAAACAATAAGAGAGCGTAAACTTCGGAACCTGTAAGATGGAAATCGTCTTATACTCCATATTCAGCATATTCTTGCGAGACATGAGATGAGGAATTTCTCTCATTTTGTCGGCTAGTTTTAGCAACCCTCTCTTTTCCTTGGGGAGGATGATGGCCATGGAGAAACGCCTTCCTAGTTTCAAATCTTCATGCCCGGATTTATAGGGCATCTCAAGAACACAGTAGTCGTCAAAGGAAGCGTGCACGTAAGTGTTGGGAATTTGACTTCTTCACTTGCTCCTGGCTGTCCCAGTTTGGCCGACTGAAACACGAGATTACTCAGGCTAAGAGCTTCATCCTTCCTCTCCGGCAGTTTGCGGCGGCATGGCGGTTCCTGGGTATCATCTTCTTTAGTTCTTCCATGGCAGCACTTTGTTCTAATTTTATTACTGCAGGTTCAAAACACTTGTGTCGCCAACACGGAGAAAGTCCTGCAAAACATAACAACAAGAAACACCGTGGCTCGAGTCGCGTAAACGCTGTCCTCTGAAAGTATTTCCGGTGAACGGAAATCTTCCCCCAGGATTAAACGAGCCCTTCGACTAATAGTCGGAACCAGAACTACGAGGGAAATCATCAAATTAATAATCCAGCATAAGCTTTGAAAAGAACCCATTTTCTGTGTGTAAAGTATTTGGAGAGAAAAGCTTGTAAGAGCAGTTTTGTTCGATGGTAATCTTAGAGTACAGAGCTTCTTGTTTATTAATAGAAAAGGAGTTGGAAAAATAATTGGTTACTGATCCAAAATTATAGGAGAGAAAGAAGCTCAGCCATCTATTACTCCGTTAGCAAACATGCACGTTAGAAAACGGTTCACTCCAGTTAGTCAAATAAGTGCTCGGTCATTAATTAAATTAGACACTAATTAAATCAAAAGTTTTTATTTGAAATACTCTATATATATTTCCAACAATCCCCCACATATTTCAAATAAAAATTTTGAGGAAAACATTTACAAAATTTGCTGGATTAAAGGAATGAGACTTTAAGTTTGGTGTCCGTAGACTATGAACCAAACCGAGACGATTAAGTCTTTATAAACCGAGCTTTTGGTGAAACGTATAGTTTCTATGAACCAAGAAGCTACTATGGTAAATCAGGGTCTTAATGGTCATGTCTCACCCCGCACAACTCCTCGCGTTAACGCCGTGGTGCGCATTTCGGCCGTGCGCGTGCCTGGTGTTCGTGAGTGCTCTAGAAGCGTTGTCAAGGCTTCATGGAGGCGGCCCCACCTCACACTCATATAGGTGATCTCATCAAGTGTGTTCTGCACTTAACACACCACCCGTAAGGGCTATGAAAATCATTAAGAGTTTTAGCTCAGCCTCACAGCGAATGCAGTCTAGCCTTCCACACCATATAAAGGGACTTGTAATAAGGCTAGCAGAACAAATAGAAGACTTGTTATTACCCATATGAACTTGCTTCATGGGATCTCCAATCACACAAGTTGGGTTACCATCCCTATTTGTAATCAAGTGACACAAGTCCCATTTCCCTCGAGGTTTCACTTATCATTTTTCGTCCTAGGGCTTTAGTCAAAGGATCCGCTAAATTTCCTTCTGACCTCACAAAATTAATGGAAATAATTCCATTCTTTAATAACCGTTTAATGACTTTATGTCTTAAACGAATGTGTCTATTCTTCCCATTATAACACATTTTCTTAGCAGTATTTATTGCACTTTGGCAATCACAAAGAATAGACACTGACGGTGTTGGTTTTGTACCAACCGGAATTTCTGCTAAGAAATTTTTCAACCACTCCGCCTCACTACTAGTCACTTCCAAAGCTATTAGCTCGGACTCCATAGTGGATCTAGAAATGAGAGATTGTTTAGTTGATTTCCACATAATAGCACCACCTCCAAGGGTGAATATATATCCAGTATTGGATTTAATCTCATCTGAGTCAGAGACCCAGTTAGCATCGCTGTATCCCTCTAGTACAGCGGGTAAACCTCTATAAAATATACCATAATTCATGGTACCTCTCAAATATCTCAATAACCGCCTCAACGCGGTCCAATGATCCCCACTTGGGTTATGAGTATATCGGCTCAATCTTCCGACAGCATAAGCTATGTCGGGTCTCGTATAGTTCATCAAGTGTAATAAACTCCCAATTATTTGTGCATATTCATATTGAGCCTCAGGATCACCTCTATGCTTTTTCAAATGTGTACTAGAGTCATAAGGGATTTCCACAGGTTTGACATCGAAATGTCCAAACTTCTTTAGAAGTTTTTCAGCATAGTGCTCTTGAGATAGTATAATACCATCATCCTTCCTTATGACTTTAATACCCAAAAGCAGTTTTGCTTCACCCAAATCTTTCATATCAAATTTTGAAGCAAGAAATGATTTTGTCTCATTTATTAACTCAATGTTGCTGCTAAATATTAGCATGTCATCCACATACAAGCAAATAATAATGCACACACCATTTTTTATTTTAGTGTATACACATTTATCTACTTCAAGTGAGGTAAAACCATGAGCTAATAATACTTCATCAAATTTTTCATTCCATTGTTTAGGAGCTTGTTTCAAACCATATAAAGATTTGACCAACTTACACACTTTGTGTTCCTGTCCAGAAACTACATGACCCTCCGGTTGCATCATATAAATTTCTTCCTCTAATTCACCATTTAAAAATGCCGTTTTAACATCCATTTGATGGATAAGAAGTTTGTGAATAGAAGCCAAGGCAATTAAAGTTCTAATGGAAGATATTCTCGTTACCGGTGCAAAAGTATCAAAATAATCAACATCTTGTTTTTGAGAAAAACCTTTTGCCACAAGCCTCGCTTTATATTTGTCAATAGAACCATCCGGATTAAATTTCTTTTTAAAAATCCATTTACATCCGATTGGTTTGCACCCTTTAGGCAATTCAGTTAAAATCCAAGTTTTATTTTTCTGAATAGATTCAATTTCATTTTGAATTGCCTCAAGCCAAAAAGGAGCCTCTTTTGATGAAATAGCTTGTGAATAAGTAAAAGGTTCATCATTAACAAGATATGTATAAAAATCATTTCCAAAAGATTTTTCTATCCTTGGCCTCTTACTTCTTCTCAAATTAGAGGGTTCATCATTAAAAGTATTATTTTCTTTTAATGGCTCACTTTCACGATATGGCACAACGGTCTTGTATTCTGGCTTTAAAGGAAACACACTCTCAAAAAATTCAGCATTTTTTGTTTCAATAATAGTATTGCAATTAAGCACATCACTTTTCAAAACAAGAAATCTATAAGCAGCACTACATTCAGCATAACCAATAAATATGCAATCAGATGTCTTAGAACCAATTTTCCTCTTCTTAGGATCAGGCAATAAGACTTTAGCCAAACACCCCCACACTTTCAAATATTTCAAATTAGGCGCATGACCTTTCCACAATTCATAGGGTGTTCTCTTATTATGCTTATAAGGAATTCTGTTTTGTAAGTGACAAGCAGAAAGAATAGCCTCCCCCCACAGATTATCAGGCGCACCAGAACTAATTAAAAGAGCATTCAATATCTCCTTTAATGTCCTATTTTTTCTTTCAGCTATTCCATTGGATTCGGGCGAATACGGGGGAGTTATCTCATGGATAATCCCTTCCCTCTCACAAAAATCATTTATTAAAATATATTCGCCCCCTCTATCCGATCTCACTCTCTTAATCTTCTTATTTAATTGATTTTCCACCTCGGATTTATACACTAAAAATTTGTCAAAAGCCTCATCTTTACTTTTAAGCAAATAAACTGTAGTGTATCTCGAAAAATCATCAATAAAGGTGACATAAAATTTATTACCACCTCTTGTCATGGTATTTTTTAAATCACCCAAATCCGTGTGAATTAACTCAAGCAGTTCTGATTCCCTATGTGTGGTAGGATATGATTTTTTTGGTTTGTTTTGATTCAACACAAATATCACATTTTTCCAGTGTCAATTTCTTTCCACTAGAAATCAAACCACGATCACGCAACAAATTGATATAAGAGTCACTCACATGTCCTAATCTTGCATGCCACACATCATATGAATCAATCAAATAAGAAGCATTTTCACGAATTAATTTCGGAATACTAAGCACATAACGTCCATTCTTACAATAGCCTTTGCCAACAAAAACATCATTTTTTATCATAACAATTTTGTTACAATCAAAAGATACTTTAATCCCAGCTTTTACCAAGAGAGAAACAGAAACTAAATTAGTCCGAAACTCAGGCACATAAAGTACGTCATTTAGTGATAAAGTTTTCTCCGATGTGAGTTTAAGAAGAACTTTCCCTTTACCATGCACCTTTGCGGTTTTTGAGTCCGCTAGGTACACGAGCTCTTCATCATCTCCCATAGTAGTACTATAGGAGGTAAAAGCACTTTTGTTTTTACAAATGTGCTTGGTGGCCCCGGAGTCTACCAACCATTCATTCACATCATTTATTTTACAACTTTGAGAAACAACTGCAATAAAATTTTCATCACTTTTAATCAATTTTAGTTTTGATTTAAGTGGATTATTGTTTCTCATAGTTGTCTTTCTATCACATACAATGACATAAATTATAATAAGTGGGATTAAACCAAGGCTTATTGTGAATAGGGTAACAATTAAAATTATCACAAATTGAGATAAAATAATACAGGCAGAGTACGGTACACTCCAAATGTGGTAGTGTATAATTCGAATATGGCAGTATAAGAATAATGAAACCAAAATGATTAAAAGAGATACCAGACTGCGTAGTGGGCATGTAAGCAAACATTGCAGCTGCCCTTTTACTTGGAATCGCAGGAGCGCAGATGACATGGATCACAACAGTGATCCTCGTCCGTTAATACTTTCAGAGATTGTTGGGAATTTGACTTCTTCACTTGCTCCTGGCTGTCCCAGTTTGGCCGACTGAAACACGAGATTACTCAGGCTAAGAGCTTCATCCTTCCTCTCCGGCAGTTTGCGGCGGCATGGCGGTTCCTGGGTATCATCTTCTTTAGTTCTTCCATGGCAGCACTTTGTTCTAATTTTATTACCGCAGGTTCAAAACACTTGTGTCGCCAACACGGAGAAAGTCCTGCAAAACATAACAACAAGAAACACCGTGGCTCGAGTCGCGTAAACGCTGTCCTCTGAAAGTATTTCCGGTGAACGGAAATCTTCCCCCAGGATTAAACGAGCCCTTCGACTAATAGTCGGAACCAGAACTACGAGGGAAATCATCAAATTAATAATCCAGCATAAGCTTTGAAAAGAACCCATTTTCTGTGTGTAAAGTATTTGGAGAGAAAAGCTTGTAAGAGCAGTTTTGTTCGATGGTAATCTTAGAGTACAGAGCTTCTTGTTTATTAATAGAAAAGGAGTTGGAAAAATAATTGGTTACTGATCCAAAATTATAGGAGAGAAAGAAGCTCAGCCATCTATTACTCCGTTAGCAAACATGCACGTTAGAAAACGGTTCACTCCAGTTAGTCAAATAAGTGCTCGGTCATTAATTAAATTAGACACTAATTAAATCAAAAGTTTTTATTTGAAATACTCTATATATATTTCCAACAGTAAGTGCTTTCATATTTCATCATGAATGGTACTTCGATCACAGTGGGGTCGTCCTCTTTTTCTCCAAGAAGGTGGAATTTCTCGGTTCGTGTATTTGATGGCTGAAACTCGTTTTCCCAGCTTGCTTTGAAATAAAGCCCGTTCGCAAGGATAAGGGTTACATATACACCATTAAAGGCACTCCTAAGAAGAAACGGGTTTATAAGCCCTTTTGTCTCATCATTAACCCATTCATTCACCTCATCTACACCTGCAGCCTAAAAAGAAAGAAAAGTTGCAAATTAATTAAGTATAGCCCATGCGTATAAACTGAGAAAGCAAATGATGATACGTTTCTTGAGAAATTTTAATCAGCTTATGCGGACTGTATATAGGAATACATAAGACCTATTTTGGGGGGAAAAAATATTAGAAATCATATTTTTTGAACTTTATGTATGTTTTGGTTCTATATTGTGCAATTTATACTATAAGAAAAGACTCAAGGGTGAAGCACTGGTGGACCTAGGCATGAGAGTTCTACGTACGCACATACGGAGGGGTGTGTTCTTACAACATGGGAAAAACCAACATTTAATGCAAAAGAACGAGACTAATTGTAGGGTTTTGCGGATCACATAATTCGAAAGACTTATTCCAAATGAATTGGGGTTAGCTTTTTTTTTTTTTAAATTTCAGAAAGGTTCATTGGGAGTAGATGGGTAGTTTGGCTTGGGGGCAGGCAAATGTAAAATCACATTTTTCTCTAGAGTGATGTAACTTTTTTATTTGTAGTCCAATTTTTACAAACATATATCAAAAGTATGATGCTCCGTATTTCTTATAAAAGAAGTCCTAAATAGGACTAAAGTTTGCCTAAAAAGCACAAATAAGATTACTACTTCTTAAATTCTTCCCAGTAAGGGCCCGTTTGTTATGATGTAAAGTAAACACTTTACGTGTAAAGTAAAGGGATGTAAACATAATACACAATTTTTTTTTGATCATCAAACGGGCCTCTATTCATATCAAAAGATTCAGGATTATTACATCAAGCAAAAGGAAAATAAAACTGACACCAACTGAAACTTCAACAACTACGACTGTAACCCTATGGTGAGACTTTGAGACGGTCACCCCTGAGAGAGCAACACGAATCACTAACCATGTAGTGGGCTTGACACAGCCAAACCTATTCCCATAGATCCAACCATACCCAATGACATAAAGAGAGACAAAAAACTCAAACAAACTGTCAAAACCAACAACAAAAGTGGACACAAGAAAACAAATAACAAATAGATAAAAACTACAAGAAAAGCGTTCACGAACTCTAGCACCTCGTACATCCCATGGTGGTGGTTCAGGAGGAGGTCTTACCACCGGTACCATGCTAATTGATACTCCGTGACCTTTGTCTGCCAAAGGCCATGCATCAATCCTCCGTCCCTGCATAACCAAACTCATCCCTGCTTCATGCAACCAGAGTAAACGGATAGGCGGCGCCGATCTTCTCCAACGACGACAGCAATACATCATCCTCGAACCTTGACCACAACGCCGATCTCCTCGAGCCATGACAGCAAATCCGCCCTTCGAGTATGAAGCGCAAACAACAGCAGCCGTCCTTCGATTAAAATCGAAGACGGAAAAAAACTCCAAGCGGCTGAAGCCCTAGAGAGAAGCGAGAGTGATTGGACTCTTAGTTATAATACACAGTTTGTTATAATCATTTAATGTAGACTATATGGCACTTTTTTTTAAAACATTTTACAATGTACCATGTAAAATATTTTACGTGGGTAGTAAACTAGTTTAATCCCGTGTATGATGAATAAATATACTAGGTATCTATTTCAGCCTAGACTTTCAAGACTTAATCGAGTGTGCCTGCAAACCAAAAACCCCGGCGACAATTAGCTCTTCCTCTGAAACGAAATTGGTCGATCAGTCCTCTCCTATCTCTTCCTTTCTTCATATTTGTTGGCATGTACAAGTCTTCTTCCTATGCGATGTGCTCTTTTGAAGACCAGAGCATGATGGGTTTTATCCCATAGTCTCAATTTCTCACCATAGGGGATCATCTATGTACTAGCTATGGTAGGTTGAACAACCCATGTCAACTTAGAATATTTTCAATTTTTTAGTGTAATTTTTTTCATTTTTCACATTTAGCCCCCCTCTAATATTTAAGCTTAGTATAATTTCTATTCAGCCCAATACATCTCAGATTCTTGGATCCGCCCCTGCTCACCATCTCGTGAATGTTTTATCACATAGTACGTATAACATACTTCGTAATTGCTAATTGATTGAGTAAAACAGTGAATTATCATCTAAACTTTTTCTGTTTTTCAATTGCTTAAAATAAAGTTTTACAATTTTAGTAGCTCAAAGGTCTGCATTAAAAGGTTGCACGCTACTCTCTCTGCTAGAACGCGCAGGTTAATTTGGTCGGCTATATAATCCTTTTCTAAATATTTCACATGTAAAATTACTTTTCAAATAAAAAACAGATTACACACATTGTCAAACGATGTATTTATATTTTACATGCAAACTAATCACGGCCCTAAACTTTACATGTAATCATTTTGCATGTAAAGTTTTAATGTGTAAACTACCAAACGTCCCCTAAGACTAATTCTACATTGATTTTCTACCCTAAATTCTCCTAAGGGTATTAATTCATTATGAAATGTTTTAATTCATAATAAAATCATAAAAAATAATAAAAATTCGTAAAAATTAAATAAATAATAAAATATTTATAAAATGATTTTTTTTTAAAAAATATCTTTTTAAATAAAAAAATAAAAAAAATAGTAAAAACCCATTAGTGAGGAGTGAGGAACATGAAAATATTAGGACACCATGTAACTTTTTAAGTTAAGGTTTGACCATTAAATCGTTAATACTTCGAAAGTCTAATAAGTTAGCATTTGAATAGTGTACAGTAAAATATTCAAAATTATATTGTTGTGATATATACAACCAATCGTCAAACATGATTTTTAACAACCAATGGTCAAATATGATAAAAAAACAACCAATGGTCAAATCTAACAATATTTTCCTAAAATCTCAAATTATGAACATATGGGGCGAAAGAAAAGAATCCAAGTATATATGCATATAATTATATAGAGAGGTTTGTACGTACGTACAATCATTAGTTATGTCTAATAAAATAATAAAATCTTACCAATCTTATAATCATGAATGGGAGTAAGGATGTTTTGGGCATACTAAAAATGTTGGTGTAACTCTATTGCTATGTATGGTAGTACTTTAAGATAACATAATTGTACTGCGGTCATGTATGGCTCTTCATTTTCATCTCCGTTTATTTACACCGTTAGATAGAGTAGTCAATTATACGTTATTTTAAGCAGGAGGTAAAGTGGTGGCTCAGTATAAATCTCAAATCATTATTGTGCCCTCCCATAATCTTTTGCACCTGATAAGTAGTATTTTCGTTATGTAGTTTTCATTTGAGTGCTGTTAAATTTGTGATTTGTGTTAATTTTGAGAGTCAATTTTGTTGTTGTTGTATTTTCTCTTTTTCATAATATATCTTCTGTTAAATGCAACATCCTTGTTTGGATCAGTTTCGAACCTGTAACCTCCTCTTTGGGAGTGTTATAGTGATGTCATTGAACCACAAAGTGCATGGCCAAATATTATTTTGAAATACCAGCATTGATGCACACAAATTGAAGTACCATTATATATAAACTTTATTGTTTTATCACAAACCAGTATTAAGAGTAAATACTTTGAAAAACTATTGCTTGATTAGTTTGGAAGATTAAGATTGGAGAATTAACCACTTACTGGTTATGTTCAATGAAATAATTATGATGGTGACTGTTAGAGAAAATATTTTAAAATCTTTATGAACATAATGTGATTTACAAGGTATTTTGTATTCTATTTTGTAATGTTCAGCCTACCTTCTCAAAAATATTAAAGTGGTGATTGCATTAATCTAGAAAGTCAAAAAAAAAAAATTGAAAAGGGGCCATACACCAACTATAAGTATATAACGAGCTGAATGAGTATATTTCATACCATGATTCAAGACGGGCAATGATTTTGTTTCGATGATGAAGTTTTTCTCTACTTTTTTAAGCTATAATTCATGTTGATGTCGCTTAAGTCATCCAATTACGTACATTGTTTGGTGGAGAGATTTACAATTTTAGTTCTATAACTTTCGATTGTTATCATTATTGATCATGTAACTTTACTCACTTGCAAATTTTATCTTGTAATTAATAAATCTTTGCAACTTAATGATTTTTCCACAGAAAAGTATATTTTCTGACAAAAAATCCGGTGACAGTGGCATCTATTTCGTTATATATTTTCCAGAAAGTGTACTTTTCAGCAGCATCTATTGCTTAAATCGTAATGATTTAATTTATTAGTTACAAAACCAAATTTACAATTGACTAAAGTTACGGGAATAATAATGAGAACGACCTACCATACCGAAAGTTACGAGACTAAAATTGCAAAACTCTCTTGTTTGGTGTGGCCACGAATTCATTATTTTAAAAAGAAAGCTAAGTAACAATATTTTTATATAAATAAAAAGGAAAAGTTGATAAAGTTGAATGGTATGAGAGATACTCCGTATTTCTTTACTCCTTTTCAAGTATTCTTCTTTTCTTTGACTATACAGTAAATTTTCTTGCATCACCTTTGACGCATTTCATATCATGAGCAAAGTGCAGCTCGCAGTGCTCTTTGAACTTATTGTTTTTTATTTATTAACTTATTATTATTATTAATATTATTATTATTATTATTTCTTATTATTATGATTATTATTATTATTACTCCTAATATTATTATACTATATTCATTAATACGAGTATTAATCACTAGGTTTTCACTATAAGCTAAGATTGTGTTTAATATTCACATTAAATAGATAATATTGGGCATTAGCTTACTCGCGCACCGCGCGCAACTATGACTAGTAGTATATAAACACCAATGAAGATGGGGATATTTTAGGAATGCAAAAAATGTTGGTGTAATTATCTTGTTTCATGAGATGGTACATTATGTTTTACCACCTGTACTCTATTAAAGAAGCATAATTTACCGTTTTATTTCCGTCCAATCCCTCCCATCCGTTCCGTCTACATCTATTATCATCAGATTCAATACACCTCACATTTACTTTGTCTCAGACGTACTCTGCGGCTCTCCCAACCCTGCTAACACGCAGCTGCCCTCGTCCGAGGCCTAACCTCCCGCCGAGCTGCCGGAAACGACGGGAAAAACGACGTCCAAGCCCTAACCTCTCACGCAGCTGCACGTTGGAAAAAACTTATGCGTTTCCTCACCGCATTTGCTCCGTAAGAATCCTCTTTCTCTGCTTTCTTTGCCCTTGACTGTGATGCTATTCAATTTATTTTTGGTGTTTTTGTGCTCTATTAATTACTCTCTGCTGGGGAAGATATTTTTTGAGAATGAAAATGGTACTCCGTATGATTTAGTCTAAATGACACGAAATGAATTATTCGATTTTACCTAACACCAAATTTCAAGTTTCTCCAATGCTTTAATTTTTAACATTGGCTTGAATTTATTCCATTGAACTTTACCAGTAAGTGTTAATTCTCCAACCTTAATCTTCTAAGTTTATTCAGCAATACTTTTTTCAAAGTATTTACTCTTAGTACTGGTTTGGGAAGAAATAATGAAGATTATGAGCTAGGGCCTAAATTTGATGCCGTTTCTGCAGTCTTGTTTTTCTATGTTTTTCCTTTTGTTTTTCCTCAATTTCAGGAATGAACCTCATACAGTAATATAGATAGGTTTGGTAAATACTAAATAGAAATAAACTAAAGATATTGTAGGGGTTTGAACTAATACTCTCCAAGGATCTTCAAGAATTGCTTGACAAGTTCTTAGCCCTGAGAAATTTTTGAAACCATTGTAAAAATGTTAAGGTGTTGATAATAATGATCAATTATCTAATTGACATGTACTGAACAGCTAATCATGTTTACTGGATCTTACTTCAGTATATTAGCATTCTCAAGGTCTGCATTATATATACCATCTTTAAGCATGTTGCTTTGACGTTTTCCCGAGATGAAATGTTTCTCTGTTTGTTTGATAGAGTGACGCTTTGCTTCTGGAATGCAGTTCTTTGTTCTTATTATTGATAGCTAACTTCAGTAAAATTGAAATTAATTCAGGGTGAAAAACTTTTGGGAAGTCTTGGGGGCTTGTTTTCCAAAACTTGGAAACCTAAGAAGAATTGCCCAATAACCGGCCCTATTATCACATGAGGTTAGTTCTTTCTAATCTCCTTCATAAAGGCATGATGGGATCGATTAAAAAAATGATTGCTTCTTTTGGGATGTCAAAGTAGGTTGCTGTTTTTGCTTGACTGTTTTTTGGGGTGTTGGAGATGGTGTAGTAGTCAGTACAGAGAAAGGGTAATCACTTGGAGCAGAGGGAAAAACTGGGGTTGAATTCTGCTCCCAAAGGTCACTCAAACACACAAAGATCCCTACATGAACCAACTAATGCATTGCAGAAAGTCGAAGTAAACCTTTTTTTACTTGGGGGATTTTTCTTGTTATGCGTATTATTATTGTTAATGTTCTTATTATTACTATTCTTTTATTGATCTGAGAAGTTCAGCTTTTGTTTACGACTACATCCTTAATTTGTTGAGTAATGCTAGAGGGTCATTACATTGGTACATTCTACAGAGACTCTTATGTGGCACATTTCATTGGACGATCATCACATGTCTAACTTTTCACCATCAATGAATGTGTCGCTGTCACACGTCTAATTCCCCTTAGAATGTATAAATCTAATGTTCTCCTTGAATTATTATCTCAGGCCTTATTTCACTGGAGTTGATTGAAACAAAAGGACAATTTTAGAGCTATAGCCAAAATATTTTTATTAGAAATTGTCATGACTGTTCACACACCATGACACTTCCTTTTTTTCTTTTTTGGTCCTATCATACCATGTCATACAGAAGCTCTCAAGTGCTCAGAAGCACGAAAGCATCACAGAGCTCATGTTTCGCCATTTCACAAGTTCAAAAACTTCAACTCAAATATTTTGCCCCGTTTCCGTAATTGAAATATTGAGAAACCTGTCTCCTTAATTAATTAGCATTTAGGAAATGTTAGGTCTTCATGCTTTCTTCATTTTGATGGGATTTCTTGGTGAAAATTAGTTGCTTTTATGGGATTTATGGATGCGAGTTAGTGAATAAAGAACAACTCTAGGAACATTTCCATAAATAAAGGAATGCTTTACAAACAGATCACCTATAGCAGAAAGCTTGTTTAAATGATGTTTTTGCACATGTTATAGATATATGCATATGTTAGAAAAACATTTAATCTGATTCTTGTAGTGGGTTTTGAGCAGGTGGAAAAGGCAAAGCAAGATGATGCACTATCTGATCTAAATAATCTCTTGGGGGAGCTCAAGGAAATGGCCATTGACATGGGATCTGAAATTGAAAGGTATGATCAAGTTTGAATTCCCTTCAAAACAATCATTTCAATTGCTTACTTTTTTTTGTCTTTACCCTTCTCGAGTTTCAAACATAGTTGATTAGCTATAGTCCTTTTCTCTACCAAGTGAGATCTCACACTCACCTTTTCCCCTTGTATCGAGCCCGCCCTTATGTGTGCTCAACTTAACATGAGAAATGTTCATTTACAATGCTTGCAAGGGGAATAAAGCCTTGGACCATCTTCAAGATGATGTTGATGAGCTGAACTACAGAGTAAAGGGTGCCAATCTACATAGCCACCGTTTGCTTGGGAAGTAGAGTGATATTGACATTTAGTGTATGATGTTCCCGTTCCTATCCTGAATTATAATGTAATGCATGTGATCCTCAAATGACATTAGTTTTACTCCATTAAACAATTCAAACTTAACTCTATGCAGGAGCAGGTGAAATTTCTTGTCTAAAAATAATCTAAAAGCCAAGTATAAGACATGTATATATTCAAAAGAAAGTGTAAAACACAGTAGACTGAATTCGATCACTTCAAATTTAGAAATAATACAATATTTCCGTTTTCATATTATTACAAATATATTAAGATATTTGATAGACACGAGCAGCTGCCAACTCATTATTTTGACAGAGTATACACAAGAAGAAATAGGAAGTTGGGTAGTTAATAGTCTGTTAAGTCAGTTCTATTATCCCTGCGTGGATAAATGACTATAAATAGAAGGAGTTAGCTATTTTTAGACAGGCTGTTAGAATTGTTGACTGATTTGTTGGAGACTGGGCATCTCGAACTGTCCCCCCCCTTTTGCTTGTATTCCACTCTTGTTCATTTCATATCATCAATAAACCCTAATTCTCTCAATTCTTGTTACTTGTGGATAGAAATTACTACAATCATTGTTCTGAAATTATCCAGTGTCTTATCATTGGTATCAGAGCATCGATTCTGGTGATCTGTTTTGTCGCTGAAAGTACCGGAAATTTTTTCCATTCGGTGAATGGTTCGTACAAGGGCAAAGATGGAGCAACGAATGGAAACCTTGGAGATCGGTAAACTAGCAACGGATGAGGCGCTGATAAGAATGGAAGACAGATTGGAGAATCTGATGGTAGCGATGAATAGACAGTTCGAAACGATGAATGAAAGGATGACGGACATGCAGAACCAGAATCGCGATGGAAGGAGATCGCGATCACCACATCGTCATCGATCGAGAACATCGAATAGTCCGAACACTTCCAGAGGTAATTCTACTCATTCGCATACTAATAATCACAGAAGGAGAGAGGAAAACCCTAGATTTCCTATACAGCCTGGTAGAAAGATTGATTTACCCCTGTTTAATGGAGTCGGTGCTTACAATTGGGTTATACGGATGGAGAGGTATTTCCGATTGAATAATATTGACGAGGAAGAAATGGTCGAAGCATCTATGGTAGCTATGGAAGATAAAGCGTTGAATTGGTTTCATGTATGGGAAAGTCAGACTGAAGTAACTGATTGGGAGACTCTGAAGAAATCTGTCATACGTAGGTTTCAACCGGAGTTAATTCAGAACCCTTATGATCCTATGCTAAGTCTGAAACAAATAGGATCTGTACAAGAATATAGAGAAGAATTCGAAATGGTGATTTCACATCAGAAAAACATGGATAGAGAATTGTTGAGAGGCATTTTCATAAAAGGTCTGAAGAAAGAAATCAAGGCAGAATTGAAACTATATGTTTCAAAATCTTTATCAGAAATTATGGAAAAGGCTACACTGATAGAACTAAAAAATGATGCTATACAGTTGGGGAAGAAGACAGATATAAGAGGAAAGAAAAGGAGGTTTATCCTAATAAATCTAAATATGGAGGAGAGAATTACAAATACAAGGCTAGTACTTCTGGATACAATTCTTTTGGGAAAGGTATAAGGGAGAACAGAAGTAACCATTCTGGGTTCACTTCTATAGGCAAGAAATTCACACACATACAATCATCTGAATTCAAGAAGGTGGGACCACAATTATCACAAGAGGAGTATCAGAATAGAAGCAGAAAAGGACTTTGTTTCAAATGCGGAGACAAATGGAATAAACAGCATACTTGTAAACTCAAGAATTACAAGTTAATTATGGTAGAAGATTCAGAAGAAGAGAATGATTCAGAAGATTCAGATGACACAAATTCAATTGATGAAGAGATCATTATGGAGTCAAAGACCATGCAGTTGTCTTTAATGAGCAAGGAAGGCATTCCTTCACTAAGAGCATTCAAGGTCAGAGGTATTATCAAAGGAGAATGGGGAGAAATGAATGTGGAGGTGCTCATTGATAGTGGAGCATCACATAACTTCATTGCCCAAAAGATGGTGGAAAAAATGCAGATTCCATATACTACCATTAGTGGGTATAAGGTGCAGATAGGAAATGGGGACAAGATGTGCAATAATGCTAGATGTGAAGCATTAAATGTATGGTTGCAGGACACTTCAGTACAACAGGATTTTTATATCCTAGACTTGGGAGGCACTGATCTGGTATTGGGAATGGCCTGGCTTACTACTTTAGGAGATGTTGAGGTTAACTTCCAAAAACAAACCATAAAGTGGGAAGAACATGGAGAAGAAAAGATGATTCAGGGGGATAAGCAATTCAACTCAATGGAGGTGTCTTTAAAGACAACTACTCAGATATTACAGGATGCAGGGGAAGGATATTTGATATATTGTGAAGGCAGTATCATAAGAGAACAAGAAGAAGAGAAGGGAGAGGATACCTGGCAGAAAATTTTGGCTGAATTCCCTGCTATTTCTCAACCTTTGAAGAAATTACCACCTCAGAGAACTTGTGACCATGCTATAAAGATACTGGAAGGAGCTAAAATACCAAACTTGAGGCCATATAGATACCCTCAGTACCAGAAAACTGAAATAGAAAGGATTATACAAGAAATGCTAACTGAAGGGATTATTCAGCCAAGCAACAGCCCCTATAGTAGTCCTATTCTTCTAGCAAGGAAGAAAGATGGGGGCTGGAGATTCTGTGGTGACTATAGGGCTCTAAATAAGATCACAATCCCGGATAAGTTTCCAATACCAATCATAGAAGAACTACTTGATGAACTGGGTGGAGCCAAGATTTTTTCCAAGTTGGATCTGAAATCTGGTTATCACCAGATCAGGATGAGAGAGGAGGACAGACACAAGACAGCTTTCAGGACCCATGAAGGTCATTACGAATACTTAGTAATGCCCTTTGGTCTCACAAATGCACCCTCAACTTTTCAGGCCCTTATGAACCAGGTTCTCAGACCTTACTTAAGGAAGTTTTCATTAGTTTTCTTTGATGACATCCTCATATACAGTAAAACAAGAACAGATCATAAGGAACATTTGAGAAGAGTATTGCAAGCTTTGAAAGAAAATCAGTTAGTGATAAATTCAAAGAAATGTTCTTTTGGTAAATCACAGCTAGTCTATCTTGGTCATATTATATCTGCCAAAGGAATAGCTGCAGATCCTACAAAGATTGAAGCCATGGTTCAATGGCCAGTACCTAAGGATCTAAAAGGATTGAGGGGATTCCTTGGATTAACTGGATATTATAGAAGGTTTGTAAAGGGGTACAGTCAAATTGCCTTACCTCTAACACAGCTTCTTAAGAAAGACAAATTTCAGTGGGGACCATCAGCTACTCTAGCATTTGAAAAACTGAAGAAAAGAATGACTACTCTACCAGTACTCGCTACACCTGATTTTGATAAATTGTTTGTCCTGGAAACTGATGCATCAGGAACTGGCCTGGGGGCAGTTTTGATGCAAGAAGGGAGACCAATTGCTTATATGAGTAAGGAGTTATCAAAGATGAATCAACATAAATCTGTTTATGAAAGAGAGTTAATGGCAGTGGTTTTGGCAGTTCAAAAATGGAGACCATACCTTCTGGGAAGAGCTTTTGAGATACACACAGATCAAAAGAGTTTGAAATTCCTAACAGAGCAAAGATTGATGGGAGATGAGCAACAAAGATGGACATCAAAACTATTGGGGTATAACTTTACTATCAGGTATAAGCCTGGAAAAGAAAATAAAGCAGCTGATTCCTTATCCAGGATGCCTTATCTGAAAGCCTTATCCATTGTTACCTGCCAAGAATGGGAAGGCCTAGAAGAAGAATTGAAAGCAGATCCTAAATGCCAAACTCTTATTCAGAAGATTATATCTCAGCCAGATCAGTACAGGGATTATAAGATCTCCAAGGGTTTATTGTACTACAAGGGCAGACTAGTATTACCTAGTTCATCTACCAGAATCCCTAAGATATTATTGGAGTATCATGCCACAGCCATGGGGGGCCATTCAGGTTACTTCAGAACTATGAAAAGGATTTCTAATCTGTTTTATTGGCAAGGGATGAAGAAAGAGATACAGAAATATGTGGAAGGATGTGCAGTATGTCAGACAAACAAGTATCAGGCTTTGAAACCTTCTGGATTACTACAACCACTGCCAATTCCTAACAGTATTTGGACAGATATTACTATGGATTTTATAGGTGGATTACCTAAATCTGAGGGGAAAGACACTATTCTAGTAGTGGTTGACAGACTGACTAAATATGCTCACTTCATAGCACTTTCACATCCTTTCAATGCTAAAGAAGTAGCAGAAGTTTTTACCAAGGAGGTGGTCAAAACTCATGGGTTTCCTAAAACCATAGTCAGTGATAGAGACAGCATCTTCATGAGCTCATTTTGGTCTGAAATATTTAAGTTGGCAGGCACTCAACTTAAATATAGTACAGCATATCATCCTCAGACTGATGGCCAGTCAGAGGTGGTCAATAGATGCTTAGAAACATACTTAAGGTGCTTGACTGGTAGCAAACCAAGACAGTGGAGCAAATGGTTGCATTGGGCTGAGTTTTGGTACAACACAAATTTCCATGCTTCTTTAAAACAAACACCTTATCAGGCCTTATTTGGACAAGAACCTCCTGCAGTAATTAGAGGTGATGTCAATCTAACTACTGTAGAAGAGGTATCCAGAATGACTGCACAGAGAAATTGTATGCTAGATGAGTTAAAAGAGAATCTTGCTAAAGCACAGAATCAAATGAGACAACAAGCCAATAAGCACAGAAGAGAAATACAGATTGAAGTTGGTGATTTGGTATATTTGAAAATTCAGCCTTATAAGCTAAGGAGTTTGGCTAAAAGGCTTAATCAGAAACTGAGCCCCAGATTTTATGGCCCTTTTGAAGTAATGGAGAAGATAGGTGAAGTGGCTTTCAGATTGAGACTTCCTGAGGAAAGCAGAATACATCCTGTTTTCCATGTTTCCTTATTAAAGAAGGTGATATCCCCTACCACTTTCTTTCAACCATTACCCAAATGCCTGAAGGAGGATTTGGAATTACAAGTAACACCTGAAAAGGTGTTGGAGGCTAGAATAAACAAAGAAGGGCAAACTGAAATCCTGATTAAGTGGAAGGAACTACCAGACTTTGAGAATTCTTGGGAGAATGTGCAGGAGATGAAGAACTACTTCCCAGAGTTTCACCTTGAGGACAAGGTGATATTTCAGGGGGGGAGTATTGATAGACACGAGCAGCTGCCAACTCATTATTTTGACAGAGTATACACAAGAAGAAATAGGAAGTTGGGTAGTTAATAGTCTGTTAAGTCAGTTCTATTATCCCTGCGTGGATAAATGACTATAAATAGAAGGAGTTAGCTATTTTTAGACAGGCTGTTAGAATTGTTGACTGATTTGTTGGAGACTGGGCATCTCGAACTGTCCCCCCCTTTTGCTTGTATTCCACTCTTGTTCATTTCATATCATCAATAAACCCTAATTCTCTCAATTCTTGTTACTTGTGGATAGAAATTACTACAATCATTGTTCTGAAATTATCCAGTGTCTTATCAATATTCAAATATGCTAAAACAAATGAGTAAAGGGATAATAAGAGAAACATCTAAGGGTTCTGTTGTTTTCAATTGTAAATCTCATAAATCTTGGAGGTAAAAATTTTATCTGTTCTTACCAGGAGGAGCAGTAGGGGGAGTGCAGTACATATAAAAGAGTATACTTTGTAATCCAATGCATTTAATGCATTTGTGGATTTAATTAGTTATGGAATGTAATCCAGTGCTCATTTGTAATTTGCATTATTCAGTGTTGCTACAAATGTTATTTTCCATCCTTATAATTGTGACTAAGATGTTGAGGAAAGATATTTTAACCCTTGCAAATCTTAAGTGCACTTGCATTGTTTATGTTTTCTTTTAAGCATACACTTGAAATATTATCGAAGTTGATTTCTATACTTTTTTTGAAACTGATTAGATAGGTTTGGAATTTTGTGTGTAAAGGGAAGTGTTAGTGATTGGTGATCTCATTGCTAAATATCACACCTTTTTGTCGGGCAAAAGTAACTATCATAGACAAAGACAAAACAGGAAGTTTCATTACTTCCCTTCTATGTGCCTATGTGCCTGTATAGAACTCCATTGCGGTAAAGATTACACAATACATTTTGTAGGACGGATGGGATAATTAAATGGGGTAATTTAAGTTTGCACCCCATATTGTTGTCTAAATTGGACTTTGCATCCCGTTTCAAAAAATCTTTGTTTTTGCACCCCAATCTCATATGAAAAGACAAAAATGCAACTCCATTAAAATTTTGTTGACCTTCAACATATTCCTTATTGAGGGCATTTTTGTCTTTTCATATGGGATTGGGGTGCAAAAACAAAGATTTTTAAAAACTTGATGATA